TACAAAGCAAAGGGGCTGAAACTCAGATCTGGGCCTGGCTTCAAACACCTTCCCTGTCCACCGCAGGCCAGGCAGACTGTCCCCTCCGGGTTTGTGCGTATTGATCAGCTGTGTTTACGAGATAAGAACTGCAGGATAAAAAGGCATCGTGCTGGCGGTGCTGGAGGGTCAGGTTGTGATTCCTTCTTTACTGAAATCCCCAAAGGGTGTTTCCACGGTGCTCCTAGTTCTGGGTAATCCGACCCACTCAAGTCAGTATCTGATGGGGGATCCCACAGGATAACCTGTAATCTGGCCACGAAGAACAGCCTGACTTTAAAAGCCTGGCACCAGCCAGTTCTCCCCCAGATAGCCTGTGGCTCTGGGCCTGGGAAGGTTTTATAAAAGCAGGCAGGGCTCCAACCCCAAACAAAGCAGAAACCAAACAACCCGTTCCTTCAGCGGTTTGGTGTTTCTCCCCCAAGGTGCCTCCCCAGCCCCGCGTGTAGCACAGGCTGCAGCTTTAGAACGGCCGCAGTGACAAAAGCGCATGGTGGTTAGCGCTGGGTGTCAGATTAAACTCCCCCGCCCGCCAAGCTGAGAGACGTTTCAGTCCTGATGAGCAGCTTGACGCCTGGGGAGGACCTCGGTGGCGAGTTCACTGTAGGGGTCCCTCAGCCTCTGCAGCCACACCCCATCTGGGCCCCTGACCCCCAGGCCTTGGGGCCCCAGCTACAGAGGAACCAAAGTGTATGGCTGAGAAAACGGCCTTGAGGCGTGACCGACACCCCGGCTGCAATCCCCCAGCTGCTCCTGGTGACCGGCACCCAGCGGCAGCCTGAGAGCAGTCAGAATGGAACGGAACAGCTGCAGGCTTCGCACACCGCGAGTCCCCAAAGCTAGGGGACTGTGACGCCCACTTGCAAGCTTCCCACCCGGCTGCTCGAGACACTTGGAAAGGAAGGGAGAGACTTCTGGAGGGGGGGGGGACAGACTCAACACGGGCGTCCAATTTCAGGGCACCTCCCAACTCTCCTGCAGAGATGGAAACCTAGGAAAGGGATTTTGTCTGTTGTGTGGATTACGTGTGTGGAAAATAAACCCTGTGCGGTGGGAAGAGCAGAAGAAGGGAAGACAGCAACAAAATTCTTGAAGGTGGCATGAAGAAGGACCTGCGGTAGCTGATTTAACAAACTCAAGAAATGGCGGCAAGGAAAATGGCAGCTAGGAAAGACACCAACCAAGCCAGGGTACACCTGGAAGTCCCAACGGCTCCGGAATTAGCAGTGGCAGATAACTGAGGGGACGGGGTTGGGGTGCACGAATGCAGCAAGAGGATCACATGAAAGAACCAGTGGGATCGCAATCCCCTCCCCCACAACTCCCACCCGGGGACTGTCCCTCCCCCACCAGGCACAGGAATGGAAGTTTATTCTCTAAAGAGGGTTAAAAAAAAAACAAAAAACACTGAGAAGATCTCGATGCAAATCATACTGAAAGCAGGCAGATCAAGTGATTCGGTGCAGACTGGATGCTTCGTAATCTGCCAGCGCCGTGACACAGCCCAACCTGCATGAGAAGGAGGACGGTCCCCATGGCTGTCTCGTTCCCTTCTGCTATGAGGCGAGGCTGTGAGACTCTCATCCCTTCCACCTCTTCAGGTGAGATCCTTATCCACACTCCTCTTGGATCTGCCGCTGGGCAGTCACCAGCCAGGAATGCAGGCTTCATTGTGTTACAGTTCGAGGAACCTGGTCTGTAAGTGACCATGGAGGAAACCAGCTGAGTCACTGAATCTACTCTGATAAGGCTCACAGCCAAGGCTGACTTCTCAACCCACAAAACTGGACCGGCCAGGGTCCCGTCTTGCCTCCGGGATCCAAGTCAATGGCCTCTGCAGGGCCAGCTAGTCCTTGACCTAGTGCTGGCCAAGCGTCTCCTCCTCCCCCCAAATCCAAGTCCCCAAAGCCTCCCTCTTACTACCCTGCCCTTGACTAACTGCGTCTTGCCAGACTTAGTTCTGATGCCTGGTTCTACCCATATGAGCCCAGTGGCCTGGAACTCGAGACAATTTCGCTTAGCCTTAGTTTTCAGAGGCAGAAATTATACCCACCACTGGGTTATCAGGAAAACTTAGCACAGTGTCCTGCACTGTGGTCACCCCCGGGCCCACACACACTCCCCCAAATCACGATATCAATGCCCTATAACCAATAAAGACAATCCCTGACTTCACTGGCTTTTACACCACCTGTGCCGTATATTACAGGTATCACGACGAGGATACCCCAAATCGTCTTCCTCAATTCAGGCCGGAACGGCTACGTCAGCCCGGCCGGGGAGAAGCCGTGCTCACACACAGGGCAGCTCTGTGAGCTACGTGGCCCCCTTCACTGTGTATCTGGAATATCACTGGAACATCTGATTGCATCTCATCCTTGTTTTATAAAAATAAGTAGAAATAGAAAAAAAGTGACGGTGTGGTACCACCAGTAGTGGTAACTACTGGTTTCATAGGCCTGGCATGGAGACAAGAATGGAACCGGAGCAATGAAGACTGGGGCGCTGACCATGTGCTCCACCAAGAAGCGAGAGGGAGGTTGGGGGGCTCACATGCAGCATGACATCATTTGACAATGCTGAAACGGTGAGGCAGGATTAGGATTTTTTTTTCCCATTCTCTGGGAATTAAAATCCCTTGTCATTTGTAAGTCTAGCCTCGGACTTTCAGCATTTGATGTTATGTAAACAAAAGTTGGCAGCTGTCTATAAACCAATTTCTTAATGACATCCTTCTGTTTTCTAAACAAACTTTGATAGTCCACATAAAGTAGAAGATTATTTATCCAAAACAACTGGGACTTGACTTGCTCTGGGTTAATAGTGCTTCTTGGGTTCGTATGTCTCAACTCCAAAAAAAGACAAGGATTAGACGGAGATGTTATTGCCGCCAGAGCATGCAACATCCTTGAGTCTGCACAACAGGACACGTACCTAGAGGACGCTATGACATCACCCTCTTCGTGCCAGGGCCACAGAACATAGATGGGACCACAGTGACAGGATGCCACCACCTTGCCTGAGTAAGGAGTCAGTGGGCCTCTCTCCATCCCCTCAAGTCTTACTCTCCTGTCCTGTGTCACACAGCCTTGCCAGGTTCCTCAGCCAGGTGGTGGCCGCACTGTGACCAGAGCCCAGGTCTGTCTCTGCACTCTCAGCTCCGGCTTGCTGCCACCACCCTGATCTCCGCCAAACTCACACAGAAACCTAAAGGGTTGTCCAGGTATGTCTCCCAGGTGTGCCCCTTCTAGGGAGGCGAAGGCGGCGTGACGGCCAATCGGCATGCATTCTTGTATGAGTTTCCCACAGCTGCTGTAACAAACTGCCACATACTTAGTGGCTGAAAACAGCACAAACGCATTACCTTGCAGTTCTGGAGGTCAGGGGTCTGAAATGGGTTTTACAGACGACAATCAAAGCTATGGGCAAGGCTGTGCTCCTCCTGGAGACTCCGGAGGAGAATCTCTCTCCTTCCCGTTTCTGGCTAGTGGCCACTGCCCGTTCCTGGGCTCCCAGCCCCTTCCCGCAGCGTAATCACTCTGAACGCTGCTTCCATGATCACATCTCTTCTCTCTCCGACCCTCCTACCCTCTTGTAAGGAAGCTTGTGACTAGTTGGGCCAGTTGGATAATCCAGGATAATCTCAACTCAAGAGGTCCTTCGCTTAATCGCATCTGCCAAGCCCCTCGTACCAAGTAAGGAAACACGTTCCCCAGTTGTGGGGATTAGGACGTGGACATCTTGGCGGGGGGCCTTGTTCAGCCTGCAACGACTGGGCCAGCAGTTCTGAAGACCTACTCTGAGTTGGAGGCCGGCAGGACAAAGATGCATGTCCTCCACTCAGGGGTCTAACCGGGGGTGGGCTCAGAGGGCATCTGTGAGGCCCAGGGGGGCCAGCGGCAGGGGCTGTGAACTCTGCCCAGGAGGGCACAGACCGGGTTCAAGGAGGCTGTTCTGGGCCGGTCATGGTCACTCTCTGCTGCAGGGACCACATGGACAAAGGCAAGTGACAGGAAAGATGTGGCCTGTGGGGGAACGGGAAGGCACCTGGGTGCAGCTGGGGTCTGGTTCACTAGAGGAGGGGGCAGGAGAGGTGAGGAACAGGCTTCCTTCTGAGGGCAAGGGACGCAGAGGACGGGCGTGGCAAAAGCAAGACCTTCAGGCTGCAGGGCTGACACGGAACTGGGGACAGTGGAGGCAGGAAAACAGCGGATCCAGCAACTAACAGGGAGGATGTGCGCAAAGAGGTGAGCGTGGGAAGGCCCACCTAGACGGGAGACACACTCAGGGCCAGGACCGAGGACACAGAGGGAAAGGAAGGGCCAGAGGGCGATGCCATCTGAGGCTTCGAGTTCTTTCACCACCAAATCTGGCAGGTCACCGCCAAGCCCCCTTCCCACCCGCCGCCCCAGTTCCCAGCCAGAAGGGCTCAGAACGCTGCCTTTTAAGTATGTCATACCATGGAGGATTAAAAATAGTTTTAAAAAAAGAGAGGGATATAAATATCGCAAAGGCTCCTGGCTGCATGGAGAACCCCCCCAGGAGACGGAAGCAGGGGTGGGGTGCGACTCGTCACCGGAGCCCTGAGGCTCCCTCAGTTAGACCAAGCTCTGCAGTCCTGCAGGAGCCCAGGGTCTCGCTGGTCAACACCGAATGACCACAGGGCTTCTGTGAACTCCCCGAATGCTCCCTGGCTTCTCCTTGCCTTGGGGGATTATGATCTCCAAGCAACAGTGGATCACACTGTTCAAGAAGAGCAAAAATGAAAGGTGAATGTCAACTGCACGCGCTCCCTCTGGGCCCCACCTCCCTGCCCTCCCCAGCCAACACTGGCTCCCACCCTACAGAGGGGCTTGCTGGTCTCCCGGCCCCACCCCCGCCCCAGGGTCACACCTCCTGCCTTTGCCATTACGGACTTTCCCCTGCCTCCCCTCCCCCCCACTCCTGCAGCACCCACCCAGCATCCTCAGTCCCAACATGCTGCTCTCCAGCTCATGACATCCACGTCGCCTCTGTACGGAGAACTCCTGGAGTGTCCCATCCGCCCCTCACTCCACCCCCAGGCTCCCAGCATTTTGGGAGGACTCAATAACTGTTACCGGACCAACAGGCCAGGCTTCAAGCGGGTCAGCCCATTTCTACAGGAGGTGCAGAGTGAAGCCCGCATACAGTCACCCTTTTGAAAAGGCTGGGCCATTACACATACAACAAGTGTCCCCTGCTGTCATCCCCATGAGCCTCTCTGTCATGTGCCCTGGGTCTGGGTTTAGAAGATACAGCCCGCGCCCTCCTGCAGGAAGTCTTCCGGATTCGGCATTCTGAACGGGAGACCCCCAGTACTTGCTGGCGAGGAAACACAAGCGCACAGATTCCCTACTCCGCGGGGAGGCCGGCCTGACTCCAGCCTCCACCAGGCGGACTCCAGCCTCCCCAGACCCCCGGGACACATCCTGCCAGGGGTAACAAGGGTGACCCCTTGTCCCACAGGTGTTGGGTGACACCAGGGCCTCGCCCAGGCTTTCTTCTGGATACAGCCAGACACGGGACAGCAGTGGGAAGGCACAGGCGGGAAGCCCGTGGCAGCCGGTCAAAGCCAGCGCCGCGGCTCTGGGACCTGCGGGCATCTCAGGAGCCTCCAGCCCGGGCCACTGTTCCAAGTCAGAGCGACTGCCTTGGCGAAAACACTGCTGGACAAATGGACAGGGCTGGCTCCCAAATCTCTCACACACACACACACACACACACACACACACACACACACACACACAGCCCCTTTCCCTGGGAGCATTTATTCAGTCCTCTGTCTTCCTTCTTTCTGTACTGGGCCAAAGAGTAAATATTTTTGGTCTTATGGGTCCCTCTCTGCCTCAACCACGCAACTGTGCCCTTCTAGTGTGAAGGCGGCCATAGGGACATGCAAAGGAATGGGTGTGGCTAGTCCAAGAAAACTTTATTTGCAAAAAGAGGCAGCAGCCTGAAGACCATAGTTTGCAAATCCCTACTCTGATAGAAAAAACTATCAGAAGGAGACAGACCAGTAAAGAAGAAAAATGGCCGAAGATTTCTTTTAATGCCACACTTACGATTTTTGATGCTTCCTCTAATTCCTTCTGTGACAGACACAATCTACCACTGTTTAAAAAAAAAGAGAGAGAGAAAGGCACAGGGAAGGAGAAATTAAAAAAAAAAAAAGGTTTCTATGGGAACAGGGAGTTCACTTTTAATGGCTCAAGCACTAAAAGACAATTACTTTATTTTTCTCTCTTCCCTCAGACGCAGGGCAGGCGTGACCTGTGGCTCGTTGGGCAGGAGCAGCCTCAGCTGTTCCAGTAAAAAATTAAATGCTGGAGAGCGCCACAGGTCAGGGAGGGCAGCTTGTGAAATGTGGGCTCCTGGGCAAAGGGCTGCTTCCCCCGCGCAGCAGAGCCGGTCAGAGGCTCCCTTCCCCTCCCCCCCAGACTGCTGGCTGTCCTGACAGAGTCAAGGCCGACCACGAGCCGTGGCCACTGACACGTGACTCTGCGGTCAAACCTCTTCCTAGGTCTGCTGCCAACGGGACGAGGGCTTCTCTCGCTGCTGACAAACCATCTGCCGGTAGGCTTCCATTTCACCTGCCCCCGAACATTCTCCTGCATGGGTGGAGTCAGGACCCCCTGCCTGCCCTGTCTGTGGGCCGGTCACTAAACCTCCCCGGACACCTCCAACTCTAACCAGGACAAACCAAGAATGCACACGGTGTACCGTTGTGCACTCTCACAGCAACCTCTTCTGCACGGGTCCTCGGTGGAAGTGAGTCTACAGCACCTGACAGGCAGAAGAATCCAAGACCCAGCCAGCTGTGCTTGGTGGAGCCCAGAGTCACACACCGCCGTCCCCCAACATGTCCCGGGGACTGGAACACACATGGCCGTAGGTGGGCACATTCTGCCCAGGCTCCAACACTCCTTGCACCACCTTCCCAGGGATGCATTTGAGCCCCTGATGATCCAACTCTCTCATTTTGCAAATCAGGAAACTGAGGAATATTGAGGAAAGGGGATTTCTCAGGATCCCACAGCAAGTTAGCAACAAAACCAGGACACAGGCTCAGCCCTTCAGCCTCCTGGTCTTGGCTGTGGCTTCCCCAGCTGCGCGAACTTCCACCTGGAAAAGACCTTGGAGAAAAATCCACACTTCGAGTTAGGGATAGAGCTGGCACCAGAACATGGCCTTTGCCTGCAATCAGTGCTTAGCTTAAAGCCCGTGACCTGACCCCACCTGGAGCCAGAAAGAAACTCTACATGATGATTCATGCCTTAGAATCAAGCACACAGCCCCAGGGGCAGTGCCCTGGCAGGCAGCTGCTTGAGGACATGAAACCTCTGCATTTGGTTTCCTTTTGGTTTTTGTACAGAAACCTTAGTGCACTTGCTGTGTCCTCCAAGAGCTGGGGAGGTGGGAGCAGGAAAGGTGCATCCTGGGCTCCTTCCCTTCTCTGGCTGCCAGATAACAGTGGCCATGGCAGCAGCCTGGTCCCACTGCTGTGTACCCCATGGCTCTATGCACGGAAGGTCTGGAGATCGGGAGATAAAGACAGGGAGATAGGAGCGCAGGGCTGTGGGAAAGAAGGCTGTTGTGGCTGACTTCATCCTATGAGCCAGGGCAACCCTGCCTTTTTCTCCCAGTGGCATTCGTGGACCAATGATACTATTGGTCCTGGCAGGGGACCAAGGAGCTGCCCAGGCCCCAGCTCTGCTGCAGGCCACAAAACCCACTGGAGGCATTAGCAGCAACATGTTTAGGTGGCTGGGTGGTGGGTGGACTAGCAAAGGGGAGGCCAGGCCCCAGCCATAAAGGAGTCATTGCCAGGTCCAAGCATGCATGAGGAACACCTGGGTCTGAGCCAGGGGATCGAAAGGAGAAAGCAGGCCACATGGACAAGGGCTGGTCCATCTGAAACACACAGGCACCGTCCTGCCCCAGGCTAGTCCAGCGACTTCCCTCCTGTTCTACGCTGTGCAATGCAGAACCTGTGCAGTCAAGTTTCTGGTCGGCCTTCAAAGTCCAGACCCAAACCCACCCCGCTCTGAGAGGGCTCTGCAGCACCCAGCCATGGGCTAGTATAGTAGCCTCTTTACCTGTATGCCCACGGCACATGACTCACAGAGCAAGCACGACAGGGTTAGTTTGACCTGGGTTCAAATCCCCGCCCCACTTACAAGTCCCGTGGCCTTGGGCAGGTTCTGACTGAGGGTGGGAACGCCCCTTAGGGAGCAGGATCCAGCCAGGAAAGACGGACAGTCCCCCTGCAGCTCCCCCAGAGCAGCATCAGCCTGGCGCCCCCCCAACTCGCCCACCTCCACTTCTGGGTGCCAGGGCCAAGCCAAGCCCCTCTGGAACAGTGGGGCCACGAATCCCAGCCTCAAACCCCAAAAGCCCCAGAACAACAGCTGACGGCCCCAAACTGACCTCTGCGCTGCTAGAATTAGAAAATTCAAGCTCCAGTCTGGCTGGGTGCCTGTGACAGTTTCACACTCCTTAAAGGCAGAACCAGCTTTTCGTTCCCCAGCGTCTGCCAGATGCTACGTGCTCAGCACACGTTCGCCGTACTGCACAGAGAAGGAATATAGATTCTCTGGGTAGCGGCGGCTTCCCACACAAACAGGAGCCTCTTCTAAATCCTGGCCCGATGTCCCTTTCTGCCCAGCAGGAAAGTGTCCCCCAGAACTAGTGGAGCCCTCAGCTGGAACCTAAGGCCAAGGCAAAGAAGGAGAGGGGACAGCCAAAGCAGCCTTGTCATCCAGGACACTGGATCCCTGGAGCCCACCTCCAGGCAGAGAACTGTTAAGGCACAGACCCTTAACAAACTGCCTTCAACCTCCATTCTAGAAGATATAGTCCCTGCTTTCCCGTGTGGCTCCAAGGAAGTGGGGGCCACCGGGCAGAGGCTGCCGATATCCTGCAATTCCATCTTCTCCTCTCCGAAAAGGTCAACAGCTTGGACCACCCCCGCTTCCTTCCAAGCGACCCTGCGAGGGTGGCACAGGCAGTCTTTGCCCAGAGGGACATCCGCGCTCTGCCAGGGAGCCCGGAGTTTACAAACATCCCTGTGAGCCATCCATAGCGACCATATCCAGAGAACCTCGTCGGCCTGTCAGACACAGGAAGCTGGGCAGCAGGCCTCCTGGGCGAGGCCATCTCCCTGGCCAGCTCACCCTGACATCCGAAGGCAGGAAGTCTGGGGAGGAAGTCTTCACTCCAACAGTCCCCTGGGGGATGATCTCCTACATCACAATCACACTGCGTGGATTCCAGAATCCCACAGGGCAGGCCGACAGATGAGGGCTTCAGATGAGCAAGAGAGCACCGGCCAACGTCCCTCCAAGTCAACTTAAACATTAGACACACGGACAGATACAAAGACAGAGATTTATTACTAAACCATTCTTCCTTGCAAGGTAATATCCCCGAGGCTGTAAACTTGGGGCTACCCCTCATTACTGACCCTGTAACCCTCCCCTCCCAGGACCCCAAGAGGGTCAAAGCTTTCTGAAAAGAACTAGGATACCTAACCGTGACAGCAGCTGCTGCCTGCAGATGGAGACCAGAAGCCCCCTCAATCCCCATGATTACAGAGTCATGACATCCCGCTGCAGCCAGCCTCCCGTCACTGCCACTGCCTGTGCTGTAAGTGCCCACGGCTGCAAAAGCAGCCCTCCAGCCTGAACTCCTGCCCCTCGTGACTGGCACCCATGCTGGGCTCAGGTGAACAAGTCCTCCGCGGATGATGGTCCGGGTACATCTGGGGCCAGTTGACATCCAACAGCCAGTGTTGGCAGATGCTCTAAGCTTGGCGTGGCTGGGGGGTGCCTTCTGAACTTGGCCCTTTGGTTGGGGTTTTCTGAGTGCCACGGAAGCAAGGAGAGACTATGTCTTTTAAGCATTCAGTCAAGAGACTGCGAAACCAAGGGGAAAATCAAGAGAAGGCAGATTTCTGCCCCCAGCCCCACTCCCAACCTCTTTTCAGCAATGCTGAGCGAAGCAGCAAAGCCCAACTCAGCAACTCTGGGGTGCTGACAACCCCCAAAAGACACAGACAGCTTCATCCATAAATAGCTCCAAACCGCAAACAACCCAAAGGTCCCTGGACAGATGGAGAGACACCCAAACAGCGGTACATCCGCACCATGGACTAGTGCTCGGAAATACAAAGGAACCACTGATGCAGTCAAGAACAAGGATGAATCACAGAAACATAATGTTGAGCAAAAAGGGCCGGATCAAAAGAGTACACATTGTATGATTCAATTTTACATCAAGTTCTACAGGCAAAACTAATCTTCGGTAATAAAGATCAGAATAGTTAGCTTGATTGGGGGGAGGTGTTACTGACTGGGAAGAAAGGAATTGCAACCAATCTAGGGAACTGGGAATCTTCTCCACCTTGATCTGGGTGGTGGTTACATGGGTGTATCCACACATAAAATTTCGTGGAGCTTACCTTTAAGATTAGTGTACATGATATATATAATACATATATATACACATTAATTTAAAAGTGTATTTTTCTAATGGCAAAGCCCACCGATGCTCAAATTGTAACTGCCATTTGCCTCAAAGTGAGAACAGTTCACTGGGAGCTGAGGGAGAGTACCCTACCCAGTGAACTCTTACCCAACCTTCAGGACCCATCTCAAATTGCCCCCATTCTGTGAAGCCTTATCCTATCTTCTCACTGTAACGTGATGCTGATATTGCTGAACATTTCTTCACAACAGTCAATTTCCTCTAAACTGGGAGCTCATCCCAGAGGAATTCAGGAACTTGTTGCACCAAGCATTGATTATTAAGTGCCTATAAAACACCCAGTGATTACCTAAGACATACAGACACACACACACACACACACACACACACATCCTGACAGCCCAAACAAGATGGCAACTCAGCAAAATACACTAATGCCCACCCCCAAATAGGATGCCAGCTCTTCGCAGGCAACAGGATCCAGGCACTTGGCTCACCATCCAAAGGGATCATTTTCTACACCACCAGCCCAATCCTCCTCCTCTGACACAAATCACAGCGAGAAGAGCTCAGAAAACGCCCACCCCGGTAGGCTCCCTTCTCCTTTTCAGGTCACCTCTGCCTACAGTGTCCTTGCCCAACCCATGGGCAGGGCAGGTCCACCTGGGCTCCCAGGAAGCATTCGGTTGGGTGTAATGTTTAAACTCTACTGCTCCGCCATCCCCCAGCCTGCACCCAGCCTGCTGGGGCCGCCTGCCTGCTCACGGCAAAGTCACTGCACCTGCTTGGGGGGGAGGGGCGGCCACCTCCCCCCACCCCCATCACACCTGCCCAGGTCTCCCAGTCCTCTCCCAACCACCCCCAACCTTGAAATCTCTAGAAACCCAAACCTGCAGGGGAAGTGGCTACAGAAACTCCACCTGCGCAGGTTCATGTGGGTGAAGAGAGGCCGGAAGTGGAACTCTGTCCAGTCTGCAAACCCGCATATAAACAGAAAGAGGCTGGAAATACGCTTCCGCGAAGAGCAGGTCTGTCTTGAGTGGGTGGGTTCAGGCAGGCAATTATGGGTGATTTTATTTTTTTCCCTGCAAATATTTTTGTGCTTTCTAAGTTTCCACACTGAAAAAATTCTTTTGAAAGATACACACACCACGTGTGTGGCACAGCCACTCCTAGCCCTTGTCAGAAACGGCTGGTCACAGGGGCTTCTTTTTCGCCTCGTCGCAGTGTCCCGCGCTCCTCAGTTGGAGGCCCGGCCTGCGGGGAGGGCAGCCCACTGAGGACAGCGGGGGTCTGCGCCGCGTGCCCGCCTGACCCCACCGATCCGCACCCCTGGCTCCCTGCAACCAGGCTCACCGCGGCGCCGCCCCCATTCAGTCCCCGTGGCCTGGAAGGTTCTTAGGAAGTGCACGAACTCACGCACTCACACTCTCTCTCTCATACACGCGCACACACACACACGCACACACACACGCACGCACACACGCACGCACATACACACGCTCACACACATACACACACGCGCACACACGCAGTCACACTTTCTCCTCCCCTCCCTGACCCGGGCCACCGCCCCCAAGAGCCCACATACAAACTTCTCCAAACTCGCGACGGCGGCTGGAGACGGATGGTGACGTCGCCCTCCTGGAAACGACCCCCCAACACACACACACACACACACACACACACACACACGCACGCACACACACACACGCACACACACACGCACACACACGTGCCGCCCCACCCCCTGGGCAACTGCGAATCCGGCCGGGGCGGCCGCGCTGGGGGCCGGGGCCGGGGCCGGGGCGGGGGCTGGCGTCTCCACCGGGCGCCCAGCCCCGAGTCGAGTGACAGCGGCGGGTCCGGCGCGCGGCGCGGCCCGAGCGGCCAAGTGCAGCTGCGCCCCGGGCTCCGCGGGCGCCGGGCGGGCGTCCCTCGGGGCGCCGCCGGGCTGCGTTACCTTGCAGGTTCTGGACTCGGATGTCGCTGATCTGCCCGATGAGCTCCTCGCGTTGGAACCAGTCCCACTCGTGCGCAGCCATGAAGCGCGGGCGGCGGGCCGGGGCGCCGGGCGGGCGCGGGCGGCGGGCGCGGGGCGGCGGGTGCGGGGCGCCCGGCTCGCGCTCACTCCCCCATCCGGGGGCGGGGGCCCCGGGGGGCGAGGGGCGGGGCGGGGCGGGGCGGGGAGGCTGGCTCGGGCCGGTTTCTTTTTTTCCCTGGGGTGTGTGTTGGTTGGATTGTTTGGTTGCAAACGCGCGCGGTGATGCGGGCGGGGTCGGGCCCCCAGATTGTGATGTCTCAGGGGGCGGCGGGCGGGGTGACGCAGCCACTCCGGGGCTGAGGCTGGCGGTCCGGCTACCTGGTCAGGAGGCTGTCCTCGACGCCTCCCTCTCCTCCGGGATAAGTCCCCTACCCCCCTAGATTCTCCCCACCACTGCCCACTGGGGAGACGGCCCCCGCGGAGGGCCCGGGCCCAAGCCCTGCCCATTCCCGACCCCTGGGGGCCCCTCTGGAGGGGAGGAGCATCCACGGCCTGAGTAGGGGGTGAAGTGATGTGGAGATAAAGTTGGAGGAGCGTCCAAAGTGGGGGGCCATGGGGACAAGGGTCTCTTTCCTCAGTTTAGATCTAGGGAGCCATTTTCTGCCCAGGAAAGTGACCCCAAGTGCTGGGAGGAGAGAGAAGCAACCCACTTCCAGGAGCTGGGGTGGCCGGTGGGGTCCTGGGCTTCTGAGTCTCCACATGACCCTCTCCAGGGCCTTACTGAAAATGCCAGGACAAGCCTTTCTGGCCCGAATCCCTTCCCCCACTGTTTAACTCAGGAGAATTCCTGGATCTTATCTTGTTTGGGGCCCACAACTTATATGTACCTCAGGCAAAGAGTTCTTTATTGGTTTACATTCTGAAAAAGTGAGGTCCTCCCTCTGCCCCCCTCTCCCAGTCATGAAATTTGCCCAAGGCTGAGGAATGACTTAGGGGCATGAAGTCCCAGCTCCCTGCTCTCAGCTGGGTGCTCCATCCCTTTCTGGGACACCTAAGGCCACAAAGAAAATGGCTTTAAGTATGGAATATTCCAAGGGAAAAAAATTGGGCATGGCTGATGGGGCATTTAGACACATGGGCCTGTGGTCACCATTGCCCTGTTCAGGGTACTGAATACTGGAAACCTGGCTACTCGTTGATTAACAAGTAACTGTGGAGGCCCGACTGGTGAGCAGGTCTGTGCCCCTGAAGCAGGGCCCTGGAGGAGAGTGGGTTTACCCTGAAGTCATCCACGGGGCAGGGGAGAGAGAGGAGCCCCCACTGGGACAGCAGCAGCCAGGGATCGGTGGGGACAGAAGTAGAGGCCCCTTCAGGGGCTCCTGGGTGCAGGGGCTTGAGGCAGGAGCTGCCTTCTCCCTGCCTGGATTCATAATTGCGTGGTCATTTCACACTCCAGTGAGCAGGGTCTGTCTCTGCATCCTGCACAGCCAGGTGCCAGTAGCCAGGCTAATTTTGCCCCATCTGCTAGCCGTCTCCTGTTTTTATACCTCAATTTATTTTCTGTAATTGCTGCGGGGTGAAGTTGGGCTGAAAACCATTCTCTTTACAAAGCAAAGAGCCAAGATAGTCTGCTTGTCTCTCCATGACGAGGCGGGTTGCAGGGAATCTGGCTTTAAACAGTGTGCGTGGACTGGATGCCAGCTGCAGGGATGGGCCATTTTTCATGCTACTAGAGATGACCGTTCCTGGGAATGAAAGGCCGCATCATGTGGGGATCATTGCCCAGGCACTAACAGCTCCCTGGCAGGGAGGAGCCATGATCAGCATTTATTAAGCACCAACTGTGTACAGATGTTGGACCTTCTGTTGGAAAGCCTAAAGAACTTTCTTTGCATCAAGGTGGAAAGAATTTTCGGTGGTTTTCAGAATGGAATAGAAGCCAGCACTGAGCAAGAGGCTGGCCTCTAAAAGGTACTTGCATATTCATTGAACTAATGTGTCAATATCACCCCTCTCCCCTTCGGTTCTCTAGCTCCTCAGTGGGACACACAAGGTCATCTGTGATTAGTCCCTGTGCCATGTCCTCGTGCCTGAATCCTGGTTTTACACATTTTGATCCAGTAATTCTGAGATGCTGCAGGTCCTAGTCACACCCGGTCACCTCCAGGCCTTTGTTCAACTATTCCCTTTGAAAGGCCCCTTACCTGCTCACTGCACGCACCTTTACCTAGCTTACTCCCACTTAATCATGTGCCATCAAGAGAACCTTCTTCAACAACCCCAAGCCCAGCTGAGTGCCTGGCTAGTACAATCTCAATATCCCAGGAACTCTGCCATTCTGTTTCTACATTGCATTGTACTACAATATTAGCTTACTTAATGGTTTTCCCCAACAAATTGGGAAATACTTGAAAACAGGGGTTGTGTCTTACTCGTTTCTCTATCTGAGCACTTAGCATAGTACCTGGCAGAGAGAGAGTCTCAATATTGAATGGATGGATGAATGAATGACTCTCACTGTAGGCCTGAACTCAGAAAGCAAGAGAACAAAATGAGGCCCTGAAGGGGCCTCTACTTCTGTCCCCACCGATCCCTGGCTGCTGCTGTCCCAGTGGGGGCTCCTCTGTCTCCCCTGCCCCATGGATGACTTCAGGGTAAACCCACTCTCCTCCAGGGCCCTGCTTTAGGGGCACAGACCTGCTCACCAGTCGGGCCTCCACAGTCACTTGTTAATTAACGAGTAGCCAGGTTTCCAGTATTCAGTACCCTGAACAGGGCAATGGTGACCACAGGCCCATGTGTCTAAATGCCCCATCAGCCATGCCCAACAGTTGACCCCCATGTTCTGGGCCCAAGTAAACTCTTGGGGAGGTGATCAAAAAATGCTCATTTGCAATGGGCAAAGCACATGCTTTTGGGAACCAGGCAAATACCAAGATATAATATGTCCCTTTCTCCAGCTATGTACAGCCTCCTGGGTACAGAGTTCTGGCCAGGAGAGAAGGGTGTGTGATTTCCAGAGGGAATTAGGTATTTGGCATCTTGCATGAATTAACAATACTCTTTTTCTTTTGCACTTTTTTTGAGGAAGGAGAAGTACTCTGCCTGAAGGCTTGGCTTCCTGGGAGTTTCCAGACACTGAGTTTATAGAAGTTGCCCAATTCTGCTAGAATCCTTGTCATTGTTTAAAATTGATTTCTGCTGAGGGAAAGGACTTGGCGTCAGAGAATTGCAGAAAATCCCCGTACTGAACCTCAGAGAACACTGAATCCAACATCCTTCCCCGAGTAAGGACTTCTGAAACATCTGGCCCAATGATCTTCATGCTTCTGCTTATGGGGACTGATGAGTTCAGGCAGGAAACCCAGACAGAGGTTTGAATCACTGCATGTCAGACCCACTTTGGGAAAAAATAAGAACAATGAAGATAACCCTAGGATACCTTCCCAGCCACTTCCAGGACAGGAGTGTGATGGGGGCAAGTGGGATGCTGCCTTCTCTGGCCACAGCCATAATCTCTTACACGTGCACAGCCCTTTAGGGTCTGGACAGTCCTTCCTCAGCTGGGGTTCATCTGGTCTTCATAGTGACACTGTGAGGCAGAGGAGGCAGGGATCAGTTTTAGATGGGTCTTAAAGTTATAAGAAAGCTGCCCAGGGTCACAGAAAAAGGCAAAACCAGTCTTTGCCCTGTAGCCTGCACTGACTACCCACATCTCTCCCAAATATGCCTGGACAAGGGCTTATGCTGTGGACCAGACTGACACTTAGCAATTTGGTATTAGTCATATGGTTATGTAATATTTTCAAAAAGTCTTAGCTCTATTGAAATCATAGCGCTTATAAGCATATAAAAACCTTTAGGAATTTCAAAGTAAGTCCAATTAAGAGGTTATAGTGCACACCTAGACTGACCAATGATTATTCTTCAAATAGACCAAGAACATCTCTTCGGTGGGGCAGTCTGCATTATGATGTCATGAGGCTGCTCTGTAGCATAAAGACCCTTGGCCTCATTCATTCACTCAACGAACATTGGTTGAATGCCCACCTATGGCCTACCCTAGGACCCAACTGTGAACAAGACCCAAGCAAGGAGCCCAGCTCTCTGCAGTGTGGCCTGGCTCCAGAGTTTGGACCTTGTCGTAAGGGCAACGAGGAGCCTTTGGAGGGTGATTTAAACCAGTCAGATTGTCCCTTTAGTTGTGGGGTGGAGAAGCCATCAGAAGTGTTAGGCGGGGTGTCAGGAGGCCCTGCCGGTCTCAGCGAGGCGGCGAAGGCCTACACCAGAGCAACAGCCGTGGGGATGGAGCCTCCAGCTGTTCGGGTGGCAGAATCAACAAGACCTCGTCGCCGGCTAAGAAATTTTGCAGCACCCTGTCCATATGCTTTGCTTCCAGTACGTCTGTCACACCCACTCCGCTGCAAACTCCTCCAGAATGTCGTGCAAGCAGGGCTATCTGATTCATCCGTGCATTACCAGATCCCAGTACCATGCTCACTAAACTCATAGTAGGTGCTCAATAAATGTTAGTTGCATGCCTGTAAACAAATTACATTTAAACTTCACCCGAGCAGTCACTCCTAATATTCACCAAGCCCCAGGCTCCTCACGAGAGTTAAGTTCAGCTCTGTGCCTTAGGAATGCCAGGTGTCATCCGGCCGCCGGGTTTCCTCCCGCCGAAACTTCCCCAAAAAGTGGCAAATTCCTCCAGCAATCCTGTGGGGCATGATGCAGAGGCTGGTAGCAGAGAGAGCTGCTGAGACACAGAAAGAATCCAGACCCAGGTAAAAGGAGGGCAGACGTGTGGGGCAGTGGACAGTGGACAGAGAAGGTTTCAGTCTTGTTTTGGCTACTCACAAACTTGTGACCTCGGGCAATTATTAACCTCGCTGGGCCTCTGTGCTCTCATCTGTAAAAGGAAGCTCATAGTCCCTACCTGGTAGGAGTGTGTGAGATCAAAGATATGCACATGCAAAATGAGCCACATTCAGAAGGAAAAAAACCACTGCTCCTGAACTTGGGAGATTACCTATAATGTAAATGATTAATGTATTCTCTGAGATTTTATTAATTTTTTGGTGTGTGGAGGTGTTGGTGGGTGGTTAAAAAAATCCTGCTTCCCTAAGTAGACAGCACCGGATGCCCCAATTTCCACAAATAAAACCCTTCATTTCTCCTAGGTTTGAATAGTCAAAGGCTGCTTCCCTGGAGACAGCTCTGCTAATTTTTTTTTTTTTTTTTTTTTTTTGCAGACATTAGAACACTATTTAAAGAGTGTACATTTTCCAGTGAAACAAATGATAAACTTTCCCCCCCACAAAAGGAGAGCTGGGCCACTGTGGAAGGACAGAAGGCACTGTATAGCAGGAGTTTAGAACAACATTGCAGAAATGCATTCAATTCTTTTTTAACATTTAGAAATCAAAAGCAAACCTTGTTGCTGATAATCCCAGGAAGAATGGTTTAAAAACTAAAGCTTGGTACAAACAAAATCCCTGGGCCAGCCCCTGGAGCTCACATTCCAAATCTACACCGCAACTCAATTTCAACATACTGTGTACCTATTATCTTACCTCGCAGCTGACATTTACCGAGAACTCACTATTTCCCAACGACTGTGTCACGTGCTTTGTATTTATTATCCCATTTAGTCCTCCCAACAGCCCTCCCAAGGAATACTATTATCGTCCTGATTTTATTAACGAGGACACTAAAGACAAAAAGTTCAGTAATGTCCCCAAGGTCACATGAGTCGTAGGTTAGGCAGGGCAAGACTTGGGCCCAGATATTGCTCAGAAACCAGGTCTAGTCTGTCTGCTCCACAGCAGCAGCCTTTGACCTTTTTGAGCTGGTCCAGGTTACTAAGCAGAACTGTTCAAGTTAGAGATTCACTGGGAAATATTTCCAGCCAGCAGTTGGCCTTGTCAGCCAACGAGAACACCAGGGGCAAGTTTTCCCTTATTAGGTCAGGAGCGAAAGGACTCCATTGCCTTCTGCAGGGAAGTTTCCTCTGTGTGTGTGAAATGCTGGGGCCATTTCTACCTCGGACCCCTGACCCCTGACCCATGACCCCCACCAATGGCAACATATCTTTGTGAAGAAACCTCAGTGTGGCTGTGCTAGGAAAGTTTGTATGTTTTGTGCTGCTCAAATAGATTTTAACACATGGATTCCAAAGGACGAAAGTCTTTATCCAAGCCAGTAACAAGACTTGTCAATTTTGTCTGACGAAGGTCTCCCAGGTCCATGCTTGGTAGCTAGTGTCCACAGACGGCCTCCATCAACCCTTCCCTCCCTGTGCTGGCATGCCACTCCTCCATGATGCAGCAGAATCTAATTTTCTCTCCCTTGAAACTGGGCTGGACTTAGTGACTTGCTTGACTAAGATGGTGTGGCAGATGTGATGTTCTGGAACCTCTGAGACTGGGTCACAAGAAGCCTTATGCCTTCCATCCTGGCCTCTTAGAACACTTGCTTGGGGAGAAGACTTCTGCCGCTTAATCGATCTGAGGCTGCCATGCTGTGAGGAAGCCCAGCTAGCTGCATAGCGGGTGGAGTGGGCAGAGAGAGAGAGGTGCCCCACCAGCCCACAGCTGCTCCCTTGGACAAGAACTCGTCTGCAGCCCAGCTAAGCTTCTGGACGGCTCCAGCCCCAGCATGAGAGACCCTGTGTGAGAACTTCCTGGCAGAACCCAGCCGATGCTCCAAAGCATGGGAGAAAATACATTGCTTAGTTTTAAGCCACTCAGCAGTACCAGCTGACCAGAACACCATCCTCTCCTCTCCATTTCCACAGCGTCCTGGTCCAGGCCAGTGTCCTCCCTCCCTTCAATTACCTCCACCACTGCCTGCCTGTTTCCCTCCCCAACGGTGGTGGTTCACCAATCGTATATTTTCTGCGTGGATGTTCAGTAAAATGTTAAAGAATAAAAGTGCTCTTCCAGCTCCTGCCAAAAGGCTGTTGCACACACTTTCCTTCACATGGAATTCTCCGCCTTTCCTTAGTCTGTCTCTGATTAACTCCCACTGGTCATTCAGATCCAGCTCAGACCTCCCTTCATCAGCAAACCCGTTCCCTGTGGTATCAGTTAGCCTTGGCCGTGGAGTGAACATACCTACAAACAAAGCAAAGTGACTTAAAGCAACAATCATTAATTAGCTCATGAGTCGGTCTATGGTTGGCAATTTGGGCAGTTCTTATGCTGCTGGAAAGGGAGACGTGGACGAGTTTTGAGCGAGCAAGGACTGGAGAAAGAGTATCGTGGTCCAGTGTCCGTCGGCAAGGCCGCATAAATGTGGATCCGACTCAGTGTGCAGTTGTGTTGTTGTATATCATAAATGCAAGAATAAAGGATTGATACTATTTGCTCTACAATCCCAGCTAATAGAGTTTAGATATTTGGCCCCTCCAAATCTCATGTTGAATTTTGATCTTCACCGTTGGAGGTGCAGCCTACTGGGAGGGGTTTGGGTCATGGGGACGGACCCTTCATCAGTAGTTTTGTGCTCTCCTCATGATAATGAGTGAGTTCTTGCTCTATTCGTTTACGGGAGAGCTGGTTGTTTAAAAGAGGCTGGGACCCCCTCCTCTCTCTTGCTCCTTCTCCCACCATTTGACACACCTGTTTCCCCTTCGCCTCCCACCTTGATTGGAAGCTCCCCTCAAGCAGATGCTGGTGCCGTGCTTCTTGTACGGCCTGCAGGACTGTTAGCCAAATACCCAGCCTTAAGCGCTCCTTCATAGCAATGCAAATACACACCAGCCGAACACTGACGTCAGTTACTGTGCCAGGAGCTAGGGACAGATTGAGGAACAAGACTAAGGCAAGAGATGAACATGGATTCATTTGTTCATTCATGCATTCATTTCCTCAACCAACTTTAATTGAGGGCCTGCCAGGCAGCATTCTAAGCACTGGAATCCAGTGAGGGACAGGACAAACAAGATCCCTTCCCCAAGGAGCTGCAACTTAGGAATGACAGCATTGAAGGAGAGAGAATGAACAGAAGGAAGTAGGACAGTGCCAGCTTGTGAGAAGTGCAAGCAAAGAAAGATGCGCAGTGATGAGAGGATAACTTTGGTTTCTTATCACAGGCGCACAGATGTCAGAGGGCCCAGTGTGTGTACCTGTATTTAGAGTCCAATTCTACTGGGGAAGAAGAAGGGTAGGAAAACTTTCTAAAAATAAGCACCCTTTTTTGATCAGAAGCTATATCAGGGGCTTACTATGTTTCCTTTTTCTAATCTAAACAATGAACCATGAGGTAAGCATCATTGTCCTACTTAGCAGATGAGAAAACTGAGGTTCAGAGAAGTTGAGTCACTTGTCCAAGGTCACACAGCAAAGTTAGGGTGGCCCCCAGGCTGGTGTATCCCAAAGGGCATGTGCTGCCCAGTCTTGCTCTCTTTGCAGAGGTGACGGTGAAGTCTGATGAAGCCATGAAACACAAGTAGGTGTTTACCCGGTGGGCGATGGCCAGGGGGAGGGAAGGGCAGGCAGGGGTGAGCCAGGTGAGCACAGGTGCTGGGCGTGAACCTGCCTGGCGTAGCCCAGGAGCTCAGTGTGGCAGGGCCAAGCATGTGAGCTGGGAGGTGAGGCTGCAGGGCTGGGTCCAGAGGGGAGTGGGTCCTTAGCGATGGGGTCACCGGGAGTGTGAGACCAGGAGGGACATTCGTAGGTTCCCATCCAAATTCAGCTGTTCAGAGCCTGTTCAGAGCCATAGGCCTCCAGCTCCCTGGCTGCAGGGAGGAGCCTGTATGATGCCTGGAGCACAGGCTCTGAGATCAGCCGGCACAGCCCGGGTCCAAATCCCAGCTCCACCACTTCCTCCCTGTGAGACGTTGGGGAGTAGCTCATCCACGTGGCGCCTCCACTTCTGCCCTTGCGAAATGGGGTAGCAGAGAATTGTAATTGAAGCAATACACACACTGCATGGAGAACCGTTCCTGGCACATAGTAGGCATGCAACAAGGACCGCTTGCTGTCCTTTGGGGCATCTGAACAAGCACCTTGCAGGCCAGTGTCATTCCGAGGCCAGGGCAACCCTCTCCTGAAGGCAGCGCCCCTAGTGAAGGCACGACCCCAAGTGAAAGCAGTTCCGAGGTTCCTAGGAAGCCAGCATCTTCAGTTCGGCCAGAGGACGCTGGCCCCGATGCAGCTGTGGCCTGGGAGCTCCTCTCAAGGCCCGAGGCCGCTGGGCCCGTGGGATTCTTGAGCTTGGTTCATGCAGAGGGGACCAAGACCTGCACAGTCTTGGAGGCCAACCTCATTCTTTTCCTACTGCTCATTTCACCAGCGAAAAGGTATCTGTGACATCTCCTGTGCTAGTCAGCCGAACCCTCCGGTGCCGACCTAGCAAAGCCATATTTGACGCTTGCTGTCGCGTGGAGCTGATCCCTGATTACGTCGCTTCAAACACTCTCCCCTAGGGTGTGGGTTCAAGTTAACCGGCATGCTCACGCACATCAAGCGGTTTGCACTGAAGCACGGTTCTAAAGACAGTCACAGACGGGCACCCGAGGCTTCGTGTGGGACTGCGCCCTGCCGTGTCTGCCTGCTCCCCTGCCTCTGCCTCCCTCCTGGTCGGGGACCCGCCTCTCCATCACCAGTCTGCTCCGCTGGGCTGGTCGCAAGCCCTGCTGGAAGCCC